CCATCCTAAAATTCATATAGAATCTCAAGGGACCCTGTATAACCAAAACAATCTTTAAAATGAAGAACAAAGCCAAGGACTTTTATGTCTAGATTTCAAAATTTACTACAAAGCTATAGTAATCAAAAGAGTATAATACTGCCATAAAGACAGACATACAGACCAATGTAAGAGAACAAAGATTCCAGAAATAAACCCTCACACATGTAGTCAAATTATTATTGACAAGGATAACAAGACTAATTAATGAGGGAACAATCTTTTTAACAAATAGTGTTGAGAAAATTGGATGTCCACATGCCAAAGAAAGAAGCTGGACCCTTACCTAACATCACATACAAAAATAAACTGACATAAACTGAAAATGTATCCAAGACCTAAGTATGATACCTAAAACTATAGAGCTCAAAATAAAACACACAGAAAATTTTTCACAACATTCAATTTGACAATGATCTCTTGGATATGACACTAAAGGCACTGGCAATAGAAAAAATAGACAATTTAGATTTCGTTAAAATTAAAAAATTTTGTATATTAAAATACATTATCAATAGAGTAAAAAGGCAAGCCACAAAATTAGAAAAAATATTTGCAAATCATATATCTGATAGGGGATTAATATTAAGATATATAGAGAACTCCTAAAACTCAACAATGGCAACAAAACAAACAGATTCAAAAGTGGGCAAAGGACTTCCTTTCTCCAAAGGAGATATACAGATGACTGACAAACACATAAAAAGATGCTAAACACTGCTAATTATCAGGGCAAGGGCAATCAAATCTACATCATACCCATTACAATGACCACTAAAAAACAAAAACGTCAAACAAGTGTTGGTGAGTATATGGGGAACTTGTAACTCTTGTATACAGTTGGTGGGAATGTAAAATGGTAGAGCGTCTAAAGAAAACAGTAAGTCAGATCCTAAAAAAATTTTAAATGTACCCTTTAATTTACAAAGAATTACCACATGATCCAGTAAGTCCACATCTAGGGGTGTGTGTGTGTGTGTGTGTGTATGTGTATATCAGCTATACCATTTTACATTCCCACCAACAGTATACAAGGGTTCCAAGTTCCCCACATACTCACCAACACTTCTTGTTTTCTGTTGTTTTTAGTGGCCACCGTAATGGGTGTGATGTGATATCTCATTGCAGATTTGATTTGCTTTTCCCTAATAATTAGTGATGTTGGTCATCTTTTCATGTGCTTGTTGGTTATTTGTATATCTTCTTTGGAGAAATACCTATTCAAGTCCTTTGCCCACTTTTCATGTATATATACTCAAAATAATTGAAAGCAAGGTCTCTAAGAGATTGTTTATACACTCATGTTTATAGCATCATTATTCACAACAGCTAAATTGCTGTAAGCAACCCAAGTGTCCAGATGAGTGAATGGATAAAGAAAATGTGGCATATACATAAAATGAAATATTCTTTTGTCTTAAAAAGGGAGGAAATTCTGACATATACTACAAAGGGAGGAAATTCTGACATATACTACAACACTGATGAACCTTGAGGACATCATGCTATGTAAAATAAGCCGGTCATAAAAGGACAAATGCTGTATGATTCTACTTATATGAGATATTTAGAATACTCAAAATCATAAAGAGAGGAAGTGGAATGTTGGCTGCCATAGACTGAGGCGAGAGAAGAATGGGGAGTTACTGTTTAATGGGTATACAGTTTCAGTTTTGCAACATGAAAAGTGTTCCTGAGTAGACAGTGGTGATGGTTGTGTAATACAAATATATAAATGTGCTTAATAACTACTGAAGTACACTTAAAAATGGTTAAGACAGGAAATTAAATGCTGTGCATTATACCACAATAAAAAATGGAAAAAATAATTAGAAATAACTAGTTAGAACCTACATTTTAAAAAACAATAGAAAAAACTTTCAGAAACAAAATTAAGAATGAGAAAATAGAACTACAGCAATGAGAAATTCAAAGGATTATGAGAATAAATCATAAATTCCTATGCCAATATATTCAAAAATCTGGATGAATGGCTCATTTTTTTAGCAAAACATAAATGATCAAGAGTGAACCAAGAAGAGGAAAAAGGAGATAGAGAATGATGTGAGAGGGGGAAAAAATGTATCTTAAAAAAAGTGCCAAGCCTAGGGAATTTTACTAGTGTGTTCTGTTAGAAATTCAGGAACACATAAAGCTGATGTTTTAAAAATCTTTCCAGGACACCAAGCCCAATGGGAGTTAGTAGCATCCGTATGGGATTGTTAGGAACAGGGGTTGATAAATCTCCAGCAGGATTAAATGTATGACTTGCAAAGTCAGAAAGTTTCCGTTTTCTTGACAGCCACAGGGTAATACTTAAAGCAACTAAAACAGCAATGAGGGCAGTTCTGCAGGACTGTTGGTGGACTGCCATGATTCTATTTTAGCAAAATACCACCTTCTCATTACATTCATACTTGAAATAGAAATTTATTGGCTTTAAAGCTTTGTATTTTAATTTGTAAATGTTTTGGTTTTCACATAAAAAGTATAGACAGTTTATTCTTCCTATTATGTTTGTATGTATTTAAATAAGAGTGAAGTAGAAAAAAGTCCACATTGACATTTATATTTTTTTCCTTTAAAACGAAGTTTCAGAAACTCTGCTCTAGGTTTTAGAGAAAAAATATCACTCTTCATTTAGCTTGACTTTTTCTGCCTCTTCTCCCCACAGGAAAGGTAGATAGATGTTCATGGGAAAAATCAGGACATAGATAAAGGAAAAAGGATCCAAAGAGGATATGGGCTATTTAATCGAGCCTATTGGGTCTATACAGAAAAGCAAAAAGATTCTTTGCAGCTCCACCAAGTCTAGTCCATCTTACAAGTGACAAGGCTTCCACGTGGGACGCCAGAGGCAAAAAAGCCTTAAGTTATAGAGTAATTCTGACAAGTTATCCCCTCTGTATATGAATCTTGAAAACCTATGGCAGCAAGATGCAGCTGGCCAAGAATTTGAGATCTTGGGTCTAAGCCATCTTTCTCTCTATAACGAAGAGCTGGGTTGCTGCTTTCCCTCAGATTTAGGCACAGTCCTGGACGGTTCAGTCCCAAGACCAATGACAGAACTAGATCAGGTAATTCGCTACAGGCCACACTTGTGGTACAACCAAAGGCTATGCAGGAACTATCAAGGGAAGAGATTCAGTGCATTATGTGTAGGTCATAACTGAGCAGAAGAGCATCTAAAAATAGAAAGGGACTTTAGAAATCACTTAGTCCAACTTGTATACCAATGAAGAAATCTCTTCCTAAAATTTCAGTGATCACTTACTACTATTCTCTATTACTCTTCAGGAAGGTTTTTTACTGTTGAAAAGTAATGTATTATGGAAAAATCTTTATTATAATAAAATAATGACCACTACTGTATAAATCTCACTGTAGTTTGATTCTCCCGAACAGAAAAAAAAATCTACTTCCTTTTGCACATGACAATTGCTCCTCTTCAGGTTATACTATCCCAATTTCAGGAGCATGCAGGATATAGTTTCCAGACCTCTGATCTTAAAACAGTGGTGCCCACAAGACCTCCAGTGGATACACATCAGAACTTCACATCTTAAAAGAAAATACTTTTCAGATTGAGGGGGTAGGTTTGCAAGTTTGTTACATTGCGTATATATGGTATATTGTGTAATGGTGAAGTATGGCCTTCTAGCGGACCCATCACCCAAACAGTGAAAATTGTACCCAATAGATATTTTGCCAACCCTCATGCCCTTCTTATCTGATATGGTCAGGCTTTGTGTCTCCACCCAAGTCTCATCTTGAATTGTAATGCCCATAATCCCCAGGCTTTCAGGGAGGAAACAAGTGGAGGTAATTAGATCATGAGGGCAGTTTTCCACAGGCTGTTCTCATGATAGTAAGTTCTCGTGAGATCTGAGGGTTTTATAAGCATCTGGCTTTTTCCATTGGCACTCTCTCTCCTGCCACCTTGTGAAGAAGGTGCCTGCTTCTGCTTTGCCTTCAGCCATGGTTTTAAGTTTCCTGAGCCTCTTCCCTGGCCATGCAGAACTGAGTCATTTAAACCTCTTTTCTTTATAAATTACCCAGTTCCAGGTATTTCTTTATAGCAGCATGAGAATGGAAGAGTACACCACCTTTCTCACTTTGGAATCCTGTGTCCATGTGGATCCAGTTTAGCTGCCACTTGTAAATGAGAACATGTGGTATTTGATTTTCTGTTTCTGAATGATTTCATTTAGGATAATGGCTTCCAACTGCATCCACGTTGCTGTAAAGTACATGGTTTCATTATTTATGGCTGCAAAATATTCCATGGTGTATATGTACCACATTTTCTTATTCCAGTCACCACTGATGTACACTCAGGTTGAGTCCATGATTTTGTTACTGTGAATACTGCTGAAATGAACATACCAGCACAGGTGTCTTTTTGATAAAATGATTTCTTTTCCTTTGGGTAGATACCCAGTAGAGGGATCGCTGCGTCGCTAAGAATTTAACATTTTTAGTTCTAGCACATGCTCTTGTGCTCTCACCTTTCTCTCCCTCTCATTAAGTGGCAAGTTAACATATGTAAACTTAACTTTGTGCAAAAAATGCTTTCCAAAGAAGAAGGCGAGGAACAAAATTGTAAATAAGAAAATCAATCTCCATGCACTACTGAAATCTGCTATTTAATGTATTCTGTATGTGATACCTTTGTAAGAAATTTTTTGTAACTTTTATGCTTTATAAGATAAAAACGCTTTATATGCCATATTTCCTAAAAGGTCCTGCTGTACCTTATTTCCCTTACCTTTAAAATGAATAGCCATATAGATATAATCTTCTTGTTTCATATAACTGATGAAAATGCCTGTTATTCTTAGAAGTCAAGATCTACTTAAAGAGAAAGTTTAAAAGTTGTGTGGGTTTTTGTCTCACTCCATTTTTTAAGATTAAAAGTACTCCACATCCCACCCTATATGACAGAGTGACAACAGAAGACATAGGTTTAATAATTATTTTAATTACAAATTTCCACCAATTCTTGCCAGTCATATTATTGTGGATATCACAAATGAATTACAAGACAGTATAACCTTATATTCATCTGCATGAAAATTAGGAGAAAGGAGAGAAGAAATGTATAAGTTGTCTGAAAATGATACCACAAAGCTCATATGTACAGTATGGTAGTCTGTAAATATACAGGCCTGCCAGTTAATGCCCATTCTTTTATCATCACCCAGCTGCAAGACCCTGGGAAAGTCACTTACGTTTTCTCATTTTTAAAATCATCTATCACCTGACTTCTCTATCTACGAGAGTTAACTGGCTGCATGCAAAACACCATGAAAAATACCATGTACTTATAAGTGTGAAGTAGTACTGTAAAATGACTTATTTATTACTGGTCTATTTTTATAGTAGTAATATTCATATGTCAGCAAAAGTCAACATGTTTGGAAAGTGATCCTTTTGAAAGGATCCCTTTTAAAGCTACTAGGCATCTGCTTTACTGACAATCTCGTGTAATTCTGAAGCCAGTGTCTCAACTCTTGGAAAGATATACAATACTCACAGCTTGAATTAATAACTAATAAAATGCCCTCTTATTCTCCAAAATGTAATCATTCAGGAGCAATGACGTCAAGATTTTGTCATACTCAAACTGTGGAGGAAAAGGCCCCATCACGGCTTAAGTGATTTAAAAAACAAGTGGTAACTATGGTGACTAGGGAACCCACATTTAAAACATCAAAAAATTATTACAAAAATCAAATTTCCCATGAATTTCTAAAAATTAAAATTCTCAGATTTTGTGTCTGAGAAACTGCTTCTTCAGCAAAATATTTAGCACAGACTACATTATCCCAAATCTATGGTATGACCAGGTATTTAGGTCCTTCAACCAACATTTTTAGAAAGAGTTCCATTGCTCTTTACTTGCAAAATGACTATCTCTAGGGCCTCAAAATTCAAAGGACAACCTAGATATTTATTATGTTAAAAAAAGGAAGACTTTGGCATGTAGACTAGAACTACATAATTGTGAGTATCTAGCAAATTGATCTCTATTTGTATATTTATAGGGTATAGCTAATGTGATTATTACAAGTTTTTTGGAAGCTTGGAGGCCAAGGAAAATAATCTGCAAATATAGCTTGTTGATTTATCAAGTGTTCTTCATATTGTTACCCCTATATCAGTTCCTTAAAATTTCTTAGCCTTTTACTCTAAGCCTTCGATGGAACCATTTAGGGAGTGGCTAGATATATGCAAAGAATATTATGATTTAGAAACATTTCTGGCTTATCAAGGTAAAAAGATAAGTATTACAAACACTGAAAATGTGAAAATAAGATTTGAGAGAGCTGCCAACTATGTGGGTACCAATTAGAAAGCATCTTCATCTGACTCATCACTCTTGGGTTTGGTAAGTCTTTCTAGTTCTTCTCCATCCTAAAAGGAAACATGAAGTCAGTAATTACAACAAAACTGGAAATGTAGCATTTTTAATGAATACTAAAGGGAAACCTTACTAACAATGACTTGTATTCATTATATCATTAAGCTAGAGATATAACCTGGTCAAATTAAATAAATATTCAAGTTGTTGGAAAGTTAACTATAGAGGTATGAGAGGATAAAAAAGTGAAGTGCACTCAGTATGCAAAATTTCAAAGCTAACATGAGCAAAGTGAGGAGCACCACCTGCTGGTCTTGCAGAAAGAGAAATAGGCTTTCACAGGCTTTGTTACCTATATAGATTTTCTTTTACTTAAAAATTAGAGCAAACAGCATTATCAGCTGCCGAAAAAGAATACAGGACTTCTGGATGTATACTCTGGCTAAAGAAGGTTATCTGAAACTCAAGATCCTAAATTTTTCATCTTGAGAATTTGTTGTATCACGACAGAGGCATTACACCCAGGGAAGCTCTGCCATGAATGTCAATAAACAGTAGATTGATTTTCTCAGAGTGAAATGTTCATTGTATAAAATATTTCATATTTTGTGTGTTCATGAAAACTGTAAAGCTAGATGTCTATTTACTTAAACATGTTTAACTTCTTAATTCAATCTTCAAAAGATCATTAATTTGCTAATAATATGATTGACAGAGCCTTCCAAAACAATTGCAAACAACTCGGAGATATTCAGAATAACTGCATAAGCATTTTTCTAGAAAATATTTTCCTCCTACTTGCCTTGCAAGGATCCTTTTGAAAACTACCTTTCTAGTGAAATAAACAAACCCTGACTTTCGGGCACACTGGCTTGTGAACAACTACAGGGAAGACTTAGAAGTCAGGCTTTCTATTCAACAAGACTTACTATTATAAAAGACCATCTTCTCTCACAAATGAGCTTATTTCCCTAACTATGGTGGAATATAAAGAGCAAGAGACTAGGAGCAGACATCAGTGTAGTACCAGTTCTTTCATTTATTATCGGTAAACCATTTTGCCTGTTTCTTCACTTGTAAAACTATGGAGACAGGACAAGACAACTTATGAGGTATCTTCCAGGTGTATAATTATGTAGTATTCTATGATATAACACATAAGGTCCTTGAGACTGACTTATACTTTTTCTCTATCCCTGGCAGCATTTATCATGAGCCCTTGCAAACATCAGAAGTCCAATGAATGTCTGTTGATTCAGTTTTAAAAGTCAGAGATCCAATACATTCTTTGACAAATTAGCACTGATTTTTTTTTCCCCTTGAATTAACTATGCTTTAAATTTGGGGAGAACAAGCAAAAAGGAGGACCCTCACAAACTTACCCCACTGGAACGCTCCCAAAGATTGCCACTTAGATCTCGGATCCTTTCTTGCCTAGGTGTGTATTCTGGACCTTGAAGTTTGCTGGCATTATAAATAAATATAGAGAGAAGGACTGATGGCGCTTCCAAGAAAAATTCCAAGGAGGGCCTGAAGTCAAAGACCAGGACAGACACTGTTGTGATGATGACAGTGGTAACCTGGGCCATCAAGACATGAAACATGTTATCCAGGAACTTCAGAATGAAAGCCACTGAAAGGCCCTGGAATGCAGTTACAAAAATAAGGGCTACTGAAAATGCATTGTGGCCATAAAAAAATCCGCAGTTCTTAATCTGATCACGGTTACTCCTTTGAAGGCCCAGAGTCAGCCCATTAAATAGAATGCCAAAGAAATAGAGTTTGCTGTTCTGTATGAAGATGCTTTCAGTGAGCTGGTTCCCTTCCTTCAATATCTTTTCATTATAGATATTAGCCATTGAAGAAATAAAACACTGGACTACAATAAGAACATGGCCCAAGCCAAGACGGAGGTGACTGAAAACCCTGGCTGTGGTGTTCCATTTAGCTTCAGTAAAAGTCCACTCCTTTGTTGTACAATTGTCTTTCCTGGGACACTCACTCCTGAAAAGAAGGCAGGAATTGGATGGGCTGAAGAAGGCATCGTGATGAAATCCATGTCCTGCCAAGTTGTGCTGTAAAGTTTTAGTCCCGGCAGTCAAGGACACGATAGACAAAAATAGAATCAGGAGGGAAGCCCACTGGATCCAGTTTAGATGCCTCCTGTTCAAGGATGAAAAACAAAATTTTACTACTGTTTTCCCCCCATATCAATAGTTTCTACTGAAAACTGAGACACTTGAGTACTTGGTTGAATAAACTGTACCATTTTTGCTAGCATTTCCTATAATTCAAGTTCATTTTTTATAACATGTGCCCCTTAAGGCTACTCAAGTCATTTCCCTTCTTTGTAGGTTTCCTTTTAACCTACAGGTTTTTTTGTTTGTTTTTAAATATTTATTTTATTGCGTTTTAGGTTTTGGGGTACATGTGAAGAACATGCAAGATTATTGCATAGGTACATACTTGGCAATGTGGTTTGCTGCCTTCCTCCCCATCACCTATATCTGACATTTCTCCTCACGTTATCCCTCCCCAACTCCCCACCCCCCACTGTCCCTCCCCTAGTTCCCCACCACAGACCCCAGTGTGTGATGCTCCCCTCCCTGTGTCCATGTGTTCTCATTTTTCAACACACGCCTATGAGTGAGAACAGGCAGTGTTTGATTTTCTGTTCTTGTGTCAGTTTGCTGACAATGATGGTTCCCAGGTTCATCCATGTCCCTACAAAGGACACAAAATCATCGTTTTTTATAGCTGCATAGTATTCCATGGTGTATATGTGCCACATTTTCCCTGTCCAGTCTATCATTGATGGGCATTTGGGTTGGTTCCAGGTCTTTGCTATTGTAAACAGTGCCGCAATGAACATTCGTGTGCATGTGTCCTTATAATAGAACGATTCATAATCCTTTGGATATATACTCAGTAATGGGATTGCTGGGTCAAATGGAATTTCTATTTCTAGGTCCTTGAGGAATCACCATACTGTCTTCCACAATGGTTGAACTAATTTATGCTCCCACCAACAGTGTAAGAGTGTTTCTATTTCTCCACATCCTCTCCAGCATCTGTTGTTTCCAGATTTTATAATGATCGCTATTCTAACTGGCGTGAGATGGTATCTCAATGTTTTGATTTGCATTTCTCTAATGACCAGTGATGATGAACATTTTTTCATGTTTGTTGGCTTCATATATGTCTTCTTTTGTAAAGTGTTTGTTCACTTTGCCCACTTTTGAATGGGCTTGTTTGTTTTATTCTTGTAAATCTGTTTTAGTTCTTTGTAGATTGTGGATATTAGCCCTTTGTCAGATGGGTAGATCGCAAAAGTTTTTCCCCATTCTGTTGGTTGCTGATTCACTCTAACGATTGTTTCTTTTGCTGTGCAGAAGCTGCGGAGTTTGATTAGGTCCCATTTGTCTATTTCGGCTTTTGTTGCCAATGCTTTTGGTGTTTTAGTCATGAAGTCCTTGCCTATGCCTATGTCCTAAATGGTTTTGCCTAGGTTTTCTTCTAGGGCTTTTATGGTGTTAGGTCTTATGTTTAAGTCTTTAATCCATCTGGAGTTAATTTTAGTGTAAGGTGTCAGGAAGGGGTCCCATTTCTACTTTCTGCACATGGCTAGCCAGTTTTCCCAACACCATTTATTGAACAGGGAATCCTTTCCCCATTGCTTGTTTTTGTGGGGTTTGTGAAAGATCAGATGGTTGTAGATGTGTGGCATTGCCTCCAAGGCCTCTGTTCTGTTCCATTGGTCTATATCTCTGTTTTGGTACAAGTATCATGCTGTTTTGATTGCTATAGCCTTGTAGTATAGTTTGAAGTCAGGTAGTGTGATGCCTCCAGCTTTGTTCTTTTTGCTTACAATTGACTTGGCTATACGGGCTCTCTTTTGGTTCCATATGAAGTTTAAGGTGTTTTTTTCCAGTTCTGTGAAGAAGGTCATTGGTAGCTTGATGGGGATAGCATTGAATCTATAAATTACTTTGGGCAGTATGGCCATTTTCACGATATTGATTCTTCCTAACCATGAGCATGGAATGTTTCTACATCTGTTTGTGTCCTCTCTTATTTCATTGAGCAGTGGTTTGCGGTTCTCCTTGAAGAGGTCCTATACATTCTTTGTTAGTAGTATTCCTAGGTATTTTATTCTCTTTGCAGCAATTGTGAATGGCAATTCGTTCTTGATTTGGCTCTCTTTAAATCTGTTACTGGTGCATAGAAATGCTTGTGATTTTTGCACATTGATTTTGTATCCTCAGACTTTGCTGAAGTTGCTTATCAGTTTCAGGAGATTTTGGGCTGAGACGATGGGGTCTTCTAATTATACAATCATGTTGTCTACAAATAGAGACAATTTGACTTCCTCCTTTCCTAATTGAATACCCTTTATTTCTTTTTCTTGCCTGACTGCTCTGGCTAGAACTTCCAATACTATATTGAATAGGAGTGGTGAGAGAGGGCATCTTTGTCTAGTGCCAGATTTCAAAGGCAATGCTTCCAGTTTTTGCCCATTCAGTATGATATTGGCTGTGAGTTTGTCGTAAATAGCTTTTATTATTTTGAGATACATTCTATCAATGTCTAGTTTATTGAGAGTTTTTAGCATAAAGGGCTGTTGAATTTTAACATGGCCTCATTTCTACCTCTAGAGCTTATCTTGGACCTCTGGCACAACCCCTGGTTACCCAGGTTGAGAATCTCTACTATAACTTTATAGTAAAAGATAAATCTCTACTATCTTGGACCTCTGGCACAATAATTTTTATCTTACTATAAAGTTATAGTAGAGATTCTCAACCTGGTTTCCCAGAACCAGAAAGAATGTAGATGAGCTTCAGAAATCTTGTATATAGATGAATTTCCCCCTATGCCTGAGATCCTTCAAAGCTTTTTCAAATCTTTAAAGGTGTCCCTAACCCAAAAAAGATTTAAAGGAGAAGGCTAGCTCTAGATCCATGGCCTAATCATAGAGCATTAAACAGCAAACTGCTAGTTGACATAGCAAAGAAAAATGATGTTTTGGGTAGTATTTCAATTTACAAAGTCCTAACAATCCTTTATTTATTTTCCTTAGCAACAAACTTGTGAGATATAGAGGGCGTCTGTATTATTCCATTTTGCCAATTCATTCAGTTCAACAGATGTTTAATAAGCAGCTACTATGTGCCAGGCAATCTGGGGAGATAAAAGATGTTCAAGATGTAATTCTATGTTCAAGGAATTTATGCTTTAATAGTGAGAAAACTATAAAGCTAAATGATTTCAGTATGTGTGAAAAGTGATTAATGGAACAAGTGGAGTATACTGAGGAAAACTAGAATCTGTAAATAGGTATTGCTTCTAAGAGGAAATCACACTTGAGCTAAAAGATGAAACAGGCAGAGGGAAGAGTCTCTATGCAAAAGCAACAAGAATGTACAAAGAAAAGAGGAATATCTCACTCTCATTGGAGTTGTCAGAAGGCCTCTTGGGGGAACAAAATCTTGATATTTGAAGATCAGTTAGTTAGGTGAAGAAGGGGAACACCAAGAAAAAAGAGGAACATAAACAAATGCAAAAGTGTAAAGCAATAGGTGAGAACCAGAAGTTACAAGAATTTTTACATCATTGAGCATTTACTAGGCACCTACCATGCACTTTGGCATTCCTGCTCTAAGGGAGGAAACAGTTCTAACAGGTTATCTGATTTCCCCAAGGTCATGTACTTAAAGACTAAGGAAGGAATCTGATCCATGGTTTTGTATGTCTTCCTTCTGCATCATCACACCTCCTAAGTGTAATTCTAAGTTTCCAGGATGCACATATAGGAAGTTGTGTCTGATTTCACCAATGCTTCTATAAAGCTTCATACTCTGAAACTGCTAAATGGACAAACCAGACTAGGTAGCAGCATACCTGTGCACACTGTTACATGTTTTCTCATACATATATAATTTTCAAATAACCACATCTAGAACGTGGTGATGGGGTTAGCACAGCCCTATGCCATCAGATGAACGACCGTGAACTAATCACTTAAATTTCTGAAGGTGCAGCTGGTATACATTAAGTAGTAGAAAGCAAATAGAATGACAACAGAGATGAAAAATGGGTGCCCATTAAAAAAAAAATTCTATAATTAATTACTGCAAATCACATACAAGTGAGGCAATGACATAATGTACAAATCCTTTAGAAGTTTTCTAGCAGCTATAAATTTTTCACTAATATTGATATTAAGAAAAAAGAATTGAAAGAAATCCTTAAGCTAAATAATACCTTCTGTAAACAATTACTCGTTCAAGGTAGTGTTCTAGGGGAGGTAAAATTTATTAAGGATTAAGCTAAAAATTAAAAACAGTAGATTTTTAAGAAACAAAATAAAGCTGAATAAATTACCCTGTAAACTCTGCTGACAATCTGAAATGGCGATAGAGTCTACATAACCAAATGTGTTCTTCACTTTAACTGATACAACACAGTGGAAGCTTACTTCACTCATCTCTCCACTGCCCCAGTAAAACATAGTAATGGATGCTCAGAGCTGAATGCCTGTGGCTAGAAGGCTACTCTTCCCGAGGGCCTCTGCTCCCAAGTGAATTGTTTGCTCACAGAATCTGGTTCTTAAATGTGTTTTTGCCAGCTGATTTCACTGCTGTCACTATATAATGATTACATAAGTGATAAACTATGAGTAAAAGACAAGAAGCTGTTTTTATGGAAACTAAGCTGAACACATTAGGAAGACTCACAAATCATTCAGAAGATAAAAAGCTGCTTTCTAATAACATATAGGTGAGCTAAGGAATTTAAATCAGTTACATATACGCAAAGGGTGGGCTTTAGTTCAGCATCAGAATGATGAATACATGTACATTCACATATTTTAAAATTGTTTAGATATTTTATATATATACTCATGTATATGATTCACCACTATGAGTTTTCCTAGCAACTAACCAATAGGTTCAAATTGTGTCAGATAAGAGCACTTCTACTATATTTGGTGGTAGTAGACTAAGGCAGAGTATAAAAACAATTAAATGGAAAGACTCACATAATATTGTTTTCTCAAGAAACTGTAAAAAACATATTTCTTAGTAGCACAGAGAGAGTGACAAGGGGCAGATTTATAATGAGAAATCATAGAGAAAATTTATCAAGTGAATGATTCTGGAGAAATTCTTATACTACCACTGAGTAGCACTTTTCTTTGTTCTTCTGCTGTTTCAGACAGTAACTAAACTTTACCCTTACTTCGTAGACATCTATCATGTTTCAAAATGTATTTTTAAATAATTTTTAAAAATTATTTTTCCATACCTTTTCTTTGAGGAAATCCGAGAAACATATACACATTCTTTAGGTAAAAATAAGTTCTGGTCTTAGTTATCTTTTGCCTCCAAATCTCAATGTTTAGGTTAGTATTATTTCCCAAAACCAAAGCAAACAAGATTATACAACTTTGCTTAAGTTACAAGCAAACCAGTAAGGCAGGCTACAAGGTATAATGCCTGCTACCAGTTTCTACCATAAACCAGTGGCTTATACTTCAAAGAACAAATCTGCACATTCATAGAAGGTTTCTTTAGAAAAGACAAAAGGACATTTAGATGACAATATTTTTCTTTTTCCCACTTTCAAATTCCTCCAAGCAATCCTTGCAATAGTTACCAGACTTACTATTTCCTGCTTTTGTATAGCCTTATATTTGTTTAAAACATTTAAAAATTATTTATTTTTATTTTTTCTTTTTTAAACTCTTTATTATTTTATTTTATTTTGTAGCCTTGTATTCTTTACTTGTATGGGAAAGCAATTTGATAGTTCTGCTCCAACCAAGTATAAGACAACAGATTTAATGAAAAGTGGCAAACAAAGAACATGTTATAGAACTATTAAGCTGCTACTCCTAGGTCAAAATTTCATGGCAAAGGGGAAAAGGACCATCAAATTATTCACAAAGAGTAAATTAAATAGGGAAAGCCAATGCACACCACCAACTTCAAAAAGATCAAAATAGAACAAAGTTGACTTCAAAATGCAAAATAAACAAAATGTAAAATAATAATATATCAATGAGTTATTTTTCAGCTTTAAAGAAAGGAAATCCTGTCACATGCTACAACATGGATGAACCTTGAAGACAATATGCTAAGTGAAATAAGCCAGTCACAAAAAGACGAATATTGTATGATTCTATTCATATGAGGAATTTAAAATAGTCAAATTCATAGAAACAGAGAGTGGAATGATGGTTATCAGGGGCTTGGGTGAGGTGAGGTTAGGAGAGATGTTTAATGGACTTAAGAGTTTAAAATCTGCAAGGTGAAAAAGTTCAATATCTACTTCACAACAATGTGGCTGTATTTAACACTACTGAACTGTATGTTTAAAAACTGTTAAGATGGTAAATTTTTTAAATTTTTTACAATTAGAAAAAAGAGTTAAAAAATGTAATAAGGTCAGGTGCAGTGGCTCACACCTATAATCCCAGCACTTTGGGAGGCCGAGGTGGGCAGATCACCTGAGGTCAGGAGTTTGAGACCAGCCTGGCCAAATAGTGAAACTCTGTCTCTACTAAAAATACAAAAATTAGCTGGGTGTGGTGTTGTGCCCCTGTAGTCCCAGCTACTTGGGAGGCTGAGGCACGAAAATTGCTTGAACCCAAGAGAAGGAGGTTGCAGTGAGCCGAGATGGTGCCACTGTACTCTAGCCTGGTGAAAAAAAAAAAATTATTTTCCAAAAAAAAAAAAAAAAAAAAAAAGTAATAAAATACTTAAAAGGCATTCTCATAAAATACAATATTAGATTTATTAGTACATTATTTTCCAAGGATTCAAAACAGAGAGATATCAACAAAGCAAATAAGAATCAATATTATCCCTCTGAAAACAAGACATAAAGTATGTAGACTTTTTTGAACTTTAATTCATACCAGTGTTATTACTAAAATTAGAAAAATGTAATCAATATTATTACAATTAGTATTAAAAGCAAATATTTAAAATTTATAGCATAAATAGATTTAGATTTAGTTAAACTTAGAATTAACTTTCTTAATACAAATAGTTAAATGCTTAAATATTAAAAAGAAATACTTACCATGGGGTAGAACTAGAGCTACTGGCCAACTTCAGATCACACAATACATACTTTTAGTCTCATCTTCAGTAAATTCAGTTTTAAATGGACGTAATTTTGACGTAATACTTTTATACTATACAACTTCAGTATAATACCATCAGTACTCATTTAAAGTAAATGACAAGCACTTTAAAAAAAACATGTTTTTGAGACCTGTACTCCCTTATTAGTGATCCTTCAATCATCTTGGAATATGGAAATAATCTTCGAGCCATTTTACTTATCTGCACTCAAGCAGATCTTGTTTACTTAAAAATGTTTATATTATTCAATGGTCCTCTTGGAGATAGTAAAAATAGGCGATAACATTTTTAAAAGCTTAAAAATTTATCATTCTTCACTATAATTTTGACTAGATTCTTCACACAAATCCTCTGCTAGTTAGTGCTTAAATCATATCCTCATCTCAAGTAGTTTAATAAAAAATTTGCCATTATCTATCATCTCCAAACTCCAAATTACAAATATATTAACAATCTTAGAAACCATTTGGTTCCCTATTAGTGAAGAAAGATTTTGCATAAAAAGCTCATTAATTCTTTGTTCAAAATCTGGCACTAAATATAAAAATACTAATTAAAACACAGTCAATTACCTTATTTTTGAGATGCTCAAGATATTTCATTCATCTTATAGCAGAAGATGTACATGGACTACAACTAGAGCTACCTTCTACATGGCTTAAACGTGCCCAATACACAAAGCCAACTAGGAACAAAATGCTGGCCTTGGGATTCTGAGGGTTCAGTGTTCTGGGTATATCATCTGAAACTGGTCTGTGTTAAAGTATGATATATGTTTTCACAGCAAGTTACTTACTTCAGCACTATCCTGAATAGAAGAGCTGTTGTTATAATGCTAAAATTTGAGAAGATAACAGCCATGGCCTAGAAAGAAAGAGAAGATAGAGTTACAATTTCAAAGTACTGACCTCAGAAATTTCCTAGCTTGGCAGTTCACCTAACTAAAAAAGCTTTTTGGTCAAAACACAGAGGGGGTTATTAGGGGAGCCACTTCACTTGAGGATTAAATTCCATTTTTGATGCTTGTCAAATTTATGCAAATATGACCAAATTATTGTTAATAATATCAAATATGATCAAATTATTACATAAGCATTGCCTGTGTAAATAATCTTTATGTACAGATCTGAAATTACTTATATATTCTAAAGGTTTAGGTGTAGAAATGACAGTTATTATGCTTATGAAGCCTACTTTTCAAAGTTCTCAAAGTGCCTTAAAGATTTTTAATGCTGTTTCTATGGTCACATAGAAGGTAGGTACTGTTTGGCCCATTAACATAGTAAGAAAATTGAAATACAGATTATTTTTAAGCATCTTTACCATTCTAGGAATTGTATCAATTTTCCTGGCTGCACTCCAGTAACTCAATACCAAACTCATACTTGACAGTACTGTGCATTGACTCAAGTTGTTCTAAACACTTAGAAATGTATCAGCCAGATTTTGTTACTGTTGGTTTTTATAACTGTTTGTTTTTATAACTGTTTTTAAAAACTGTTTGTTTTTATAACTGTTTGTTTTTATGAATACTCTCACTCATGAGAGTATTAATCTGAACATGTATGTATTATGCTCAGAAAGCATGAAATTCCATCATTGCTCCTGATAAATAGATCTGACAATAGTAGTAATTTTTTAACACAAATCTTAGGATGTAGTTCATTCTACCTTTCTGCTTGTTATCACTTTAAGGTGATTAAATCCCCAAAAGATATTAACAGTCATATATACCCACTAATTAAAGCAAACATGGCTAATATTCAGCTAAATTAAAGATAAGAGCAAACTCAATAAAAAATGGCAACAACTCCAAGAACATAACATTGTTATTTTTCTATTGAATATTTACGGGAACCACCATTTTAAGGTTTTCTCAGTGTGCTTCTCTTTAGACAAATGCCTCTGAACCCCTAGTTAGGAGATGAGTAAGAGGAAAAGAGGAAAGTTAAGTGTGGAAACAGTGGCCTTAATGAATCACATTAAGGGCAGTGCAAAAGTACCTAACCATGCAACCTGACTGGCTTAATGAATTCTGAAAATTCTGAAAACTCTTTCTACGCAAGAGGATAAAATAAATAAAACATCAGAGCTTTCTGCCCCAAACCTTCCATGCATCTCTATTTAATTCCTTAAATAAACATAGGCACAACAATACACAGAATATGCATGAGTTTTATTCTGTAAGATAAATGGTTGTACACAATCAGGAAGGAAGAGCAAAGCAATAAGCTGGAAGAATAATAAGGAAGTTGCCATTTTGCTCTGGTACTGGGGGACACAGAAAAGATATACAAATTCAGAGCTAATGTGTTGGATATGATAAAATACAATAAATATTTACTTATCGAATTTGAATAATTATGTTGTTGGGGATGGCAATTCTCTAAAAAGTAAGAATTTAGGAGAGGAAAGATGTCTAGATGGACTGGCGACTTATTAGCAACATGCATTACAGAGCTGAGAAAAAAACTTCAGGTGATCAACGGGCCCAGTTCCCTGCCTTTGGCTGTGTCCCACCCAAATCTCACCTTGAATTTTAATAATCCCCACATGCTAAGGGCCAGGCCAGGTGAAGATAATTGAATCATGGTGGCGGTTTCCCCCACACTGTTCTCATGGTAGTGAATAAGTTTCATGAGATCTGATGGTTTTATAAATGGGAGCTCACCAGCACAAGCGTTCATGCCTGCAGCCACATAAGACGTGAATTTGCTCCTCATTTGCCTTCTGCCATGACTGTAAGGCCTCCCCAGCCATGTGGAACTGAGAGTCCATTAAACGTCTTTCCTTTATAAGGTACCCAGTATCAGGTATGTCTTTATTAGCAGTGTGAGAACATATTAATACAGTTCTATATTGAGCCCTCCTTTTCATCCCACCCTAAAACTGATTTGGTTATATTTAAGCAACTTCACAGAGAAGACTGGTAGCAATAAAAATTCTATTTGTAATCAAATGCCTGAACTTACTTTTTAAAGAAATTTAAAACACATTTTGGTAAAAATAAATCTTCATTTTATAAAATATTAAGGAGAAAAATACATGTGACCTATTATGACCCAAACTGAGTAATAGGTGAAAGCAGAAAAGCAAGTCCAGTTCAGATTACTAATGGCTTTCTAAATTGACACTAAGGATGCCAAGAAAGATGAGAAGTATTTGCAGCATCATCAGTTATAAATGGCATTTCTAGTTGGGAAGACACAAGCCTTACCCTTGAAGAACTTGTTGGTTAAATGACAGGACTAGCAGAAAAGAAAACCATACAGATAAAATTCATATAAACTACATTAAAACAGGTATAAGAAAGGTTCATTGAGTGTGTAACTTTCTGAGTTAATGAGGGAAGTTTTCTTGGATGGAAGTCCTGGATGCTGAGATTAATATTAGAGGTTAGTGGCCATAGGATGTCTCAGAAAATAGGCATACTATTTTACATAAAAAGAGGTGGCTTCAGATTCCTTGGTCTAGGGATCAACTCCCCCATAGTAGCCCAATTTGATACAGTAATTTTGACCATTTAGAGAATCTGGCATGCCTATTGATAAAGTACTCGGATAATTCTGGGAAAATCTCAGGAAGGCCAGTGAGGGCGAGGAGAAATTAACAATGCCAACAAAAATGATTAAAAAAAAATTCATTCTGGGATTTATTTCTCCATATCTTTTCAATGATATTTTCTTTGTCATATTTACTTACTGGCTGAAGATAGGACAGGACATAGAAGACAATCAAGTTATCCAGGAAATAAAGAAAGGCAGGAATGGACCACTTCATGAAATTAGAGAATTCCTTCCAGGAAGCATATTTGAAATTTCTACTTTGATGATCTTAGAAAAAAAATACAGTGTAAATAAATGACCTTGATGAGAATGCCCACATTTTTAGAGAAATTACACTGCACTTTGATACAATTCGTTATAGGCAGCTTTAAAAATGTGCCTCCATAAGTGAATACTAGCCTTAAGAAATGAAAGACAATAAGGAATTTCATTACTGTCTCTCTTCAACCCACCACTGTTTCATCACTGACAATTAGCGACAACCTTAGGACTACTAATTATCCTAATTCCCATTAATTTCAGATAACAGAAGTATTACTTAAGGCAACTCAGGATACATATGTGGTTTCTCTTACTGCTGTAAGAGCATAAGGCCAAGAGGGAGATCAACAAGTTAGAATTAAGTTAAAAAAAGAAAAATCAAGCCTTCACACTGGAATGTTTGATCTGCCCGGCTAGGGCAGATCAAGAAAGGGGGATACTAAATAGAAATTTATTTATATGGAACTAGAGAAAGTTCACTTTTAGTAATCTTAGTCAGTTACTATTCCATCTTTAGGTTTCTAAAAACTTAGAAAGGCACTGTAGCAGACAGAATGTAAAACAAAAGACAAAGGCAGTTTAAGGCTTTTGTCATGCTGCAAATAATGCATGAGCTCATGCTACAAATAATGCATGAGCTTTATGAGATCAAGAAATGTATTCACTAACTAGAAACTGCAAAGATTGAAACCCTGGAGTATGAAAAGACATCTTGCGGGCAAACACTTTAATGCTCTAAGGTTTATGTTTACCTCATGTGGGAAGGTAGATAAAAGAGGCAGAGGGAGCTGAGGCCCAATAACTGGGGAACTAAGTTGAAGAATTAATGTATATTAAAGAGCATATGCATTCCATGAAAGGCTATATACTTTACATTTGAGAAAGAAATTAGTATCCCTATGTGAAAGCTCAGAAAACTGGAGCTCAGAGAAGTTAAAATAATCTGCTCCAGAAAAATCTCTTTGATGCCAGTGCACTATGCTACCTTCCCTGTAGGGAATGGGAACTATTTTGAAATATGATACATCTCAAGTCAGACAGCACATGATTTAGAAAATCTTGAATCTGCATAAAAACTAACTTATTGCGTGAAACCATCACAGAACAAGTAACAAGATAGCGCAATAGGAAGGGTATTAGGAAACCGGTTGGTGTCCTAGCGCTTCCTCTTCCTACGCAGCTCTGCATAATACTTTCTCTTTGAGCTTGTTTCTCTACCTCTAAAACACACTCATGTTTGTATCTTAGCTTCCTCATATAAAATTTAATGGACTAAACTCAATGATATAAAATGTTCCTTCCAGTTCTAACATTTTTTGGTCCTGTGATTTTTAACAAGTATATAGTACCATTTCAAGACTTACCTTTCTTTATAATACAGAAGGACACAAGCACACAGAAAACCAGCTTCACCAGTTCCGAGCACACATTCACAGTAGTTGGAAGATAATCATACTTGTTTTCTGAAATGTAACAGAAACGTTTTTTAACTATACATTTTATTCTATATATGTTTGTATATACAGTATAACTTAGAATTGTTTTAAAACTTAGAAGGTAGATTTAATACTGGTTATATTAAATTTCTTCCAGTTGGCTTTGCTCCTTTGGATTTTTTAATCAATTCATTCACCTAATGTATGAGCTATTCCTATTCCATTCGGCTTTTTAGTATCCTTGAACTTGCTAAAAATGCCTCTCACGTCTTCATCCAAGTTGCTAATAAACATGTTTACATAAATATGTAAATATGTTGAGGAGGCTAAGACTAAGGGCAAAGAAAGCACTGTGGCGTGGCATTAGAGGCTGCCTGCTAAATGATCATCAATCAACACTGACTCATCAAACAGTTATGAACTGACCTGCTGAATTACTATTTAGCACATAATTCTTCTCATGACTTGTTTGCCTTGATAAAATTGACGTACACTCTGTGACATTCCCCATAAGGGTTTTCCAATCTGCTTTGTATCACGGTACACACAGAACACATTAATATTTGTTTGGCACTGTGGGATAAGATAAATGGTACACTGGGGTAAAGAAGGAAACTATCTGAGGCAAGAGTACAACTGGCCTAGGGCTCTGCTACCTTTAGGGCTAAGAGGAAATACCTGGATACACCCAAACCCACTCAGGAGTTGGGAAGCTACATCCTAGCTTGCAAATCAATAGGATTAGGAAGTGAGGTTTGGTTGGTATGACTTCATCTTAACTGTTACCTGTCTCTTCTAAACGCTTACAAACAACTTGTTTTACAATTTTGCCAAGGATAAACATAAACTTAATTGGGTACTATTTTCAGGAAAGCATATTCTCCACTTTTGAAAACATTTGCTTGTATCTCTCAGTCACATTAAACCCAAACTGGTCAAGTATAGGGGGAAAAAAGCCAAATGGACACTGTCTACCCAGAATACTTTCTTCCTCAATTCTGCGGTTTCCCTTTACCTTCTCAAACTAATCAGAATGAATTCTTTATTCATCTCTGTTCTTATAGCACTACCTCTCAACCTATATGGCACTACTTGACACACTGGAAGTGTGTGGAGTAAAATGGAATGGAAGATCCTTATAGGAAATGGACCATATTAATAACCTTCATATACCTGGCTCTTAATAAAGGTTCACCTGAATTTAAGTATCTGCCTGTTCAACTTTCCCCATCATTCAAAGTACAGTTAAAACATCTCCTCCCTTTTCTCAGTTCAATGCTAGACTTAACTCACACTCTGTTATCCTCCAATGACACTTCTCATGATCTCTGTCATGATACACATAAGCCAACATGTGCACATAAGAAGGAGAGACTTTGGATTATAGCTTTCAAACCCTTGTCACTTTCTTTAGCTTGTTCTTGCTTTTCAGGCGTTTTCTTGTAGTCCTTTCATGGCCGATCCCAGATCATATCACGACATGGTATGTGACTTCCCTCCACACATCTCCTGCCCACACTAACGTACTTTTTCTATATGGCATTCATCCTCACTGGTTTCCCTTCAGCCCCAGAGGAAAGAGGCTAAGACCCTGCTATTCATCTAATCTCCCCTTTAAAACCTTCCCTTCTGGCCAGGCACAGTGGCTCATACCTATGATCCCAGCACTTTGGGAAGCTGAGGCCGGCAGATCGCTTGAGGTCAGGAGTTTGAGACCAGCCTGGCCAACATGGTGAAACCCAGTCTCTACTAAAATTACCAAAAACAGCTGAGCATGTTAGCACACAGCTATAATCTCAGCTACTTGAGAGGCTGAGGCAGGAGAATTACTTGAACTCGGGAGGTGGAGGTTGCAGTGAACCAAGACTGTGCCTGTGCACTCCAGCCTGGGCCACAGAGCAAGACTCTGCCCCAAAACAAAACTAAAAAACGAACCTTCCCTTCTCCTCCAAGATACTTGACTCCATCTCTTTTGGCTTCAGCATATCTTTTATCTTCCTCTCTACTAATTGGTTTACTGCCCTTGGCCTAAAAACATACTCAAAACTCTCCCATCAGAAAAACAAATTATAAAATATGACTCCCTCTAGTTGCCATATCTTCTCTCCCTGAAACAGTATCAACATTCATTATCTGCCCTTTACTTACTTTCCATTCAGGTCTTATCTCCAAGTAATCTGATTTCTGAAAACTACCTCCTCTCTGAGATTACCAAACATCTCATTCTTAATTCTAAAGGGCATCTTTAGAATTAGGTAGCTTTAGAATCTTTACCTTATCATGATGTTGGAATTCTTTCTCAGTCTTCAAGCTCTTTCCTTCCTTTCTATGAGACATGTGCATTTAGTTCTCCCATCTAGCTTAGGATTTCTCCTTAACGCTCTTCTGAGTGTCCGCATGCCACCTTATATGTTGGCATTCCTCAGAGTTTGGCCATGACTCTTTATTTTCTCATTCTGCATGAGAACTCTCTCTGTTCCTTAAGTTTTAAATATCAATTTAACATAAATGTCCCTAAATCTATATTCCATAACATTTAACTTATTGCCCACTATAAATATCTGAATAAAAACCTCCTATTTATTCATATAATTGGCATGTCCTTCATGTGCATGATATGCCAGATACTGCAGAAAACTGCAGTAAGGACACAGCTCCTGACCTCATGGAAGGTACATAACTAAAACTACAATCTTTTCAAACTCTGCCCAACCTGCTCTTCCTCCTAATAGTCTCAGCTGAGAACAGCATCAATCCACTTGGCATTCAAACCAGAAAGCTTGGAGCTATAAAACATTCATATTCAATACAGTCTCCAAATTTCGTCTCTTCTATGTTCTGAATATTCCTTAATCTATCTTACTTGGCTTACTACCTCCAAAACACTAAGTGAGTCTTCATCACCTATGGCTTGAATTTGCAATAACCGCTTAATCGGCTATCAAGTTTCCTGTCTTTTCCACTGCCACCCAGCTACCATGAGTCCTTCATTTTACTCTCCTAGTTGTAATTATTCGAATATCCCTCATCCCTCAGACTGGCCTAGAGACTAAGGTTCCAGCTCCTTACCATGAAATATGAAGCCCTTAACAGTCTGACACGTATCACCCTCTCTCCAGCCAAACACTCCTTCCCTCTCTTCTGAATCCTTAAACCTTTTTTTTTCCCCCTTATTTTTTTGAGACAAAGTTTTGCTCTGTTGCCCAGGCTGGAGTGCAATGGCATGATCTCAGCTCATTGCAACCTCCACCTCCCAGGTTCAAGTGATTTTCCTGCCCCAGTCTCCAGAGTAGCTGGGATTACAGGTGCACACCAACACACCTGGCTAATTTTTTGTATTTTTAGTAGAGATGGGGTTTCACCATGTTGGTTAGGCTGGTCTCAAATTCCTGACCTCAAGTGATCCACTCGCCTCGGTCTCCCAAAGTGCTCAGATTATCTCCCACCATGCTAGACCACAAGTCCTTAAACTTTTTGCTTGGTAATTTTAAATTACATGTTCTCACAACACATCTTGCTTTTTTATGCCTCTGTTCCCTTTTACAGGCTGCTGCCTCTGTTTTGAATACCCTTGTTCACCTTAACTTCTATTGGATCAACTGTCTCCTAATCAGAGTGTTCTCTGATTCCTCTGAACTCCACATCATCCCATACCAGACAGAATATATAACTTTATCCTCTAGAAAATCTCTGCATCTTGAGCATGTATCAATTATTGCAGTTATTATAACGGATTTTCATGATTGGTTTACATTTATGTCTCTCCTAATTAACCAAGTCTTCAGGACAAGGTCTGTGTTTTATGCACTTTGAACCCTGCTGCTACTACTTAGCCTAGTGCCTGGCAGATAAATGCTAACTGCAACAGAGAGTTAGGTACACATCTGACACTCCAAGTGGACCAGTAAAGGTCATGTCATGGTTGTATGTATCCTCAATAACTAGTAAGAAGTATTCAATTAGTGTTTGCTTAAATCCTTAGATAAAAAAGCAGATTTCTTAAATACATACTTATCAAAGCTTATAATTTATAATGTTGATTCAATATCATTGCGCAATACAATGTTGACACTGTATCATTAATACAATAATTACAATAGTAAGTACTTCACAAATGCCAAGTGACCAAACAAATACATCCTTTTACTTCAAAATAAGGTGCAATTACACATTTTGCTATAGGTCCAGAAACATCTGTTGATTGAAGCAATAGTCAAATGTTACGACTGGTTCTTTCCTAAAGGGCTGACTCATATTTCATCCAGCATCAAATATTTTTCTTGTTGAGGAAAGGAAGGTTAAAGAATCAAATTTTAAACATGCTTTATCACTCACATGAAGCAAAAGGCATTCTTATCTCATGTCATATATAAGAAAACCAAAGATGAGACAGAGAATGTGATTAGATGGAAGTGCTCCATACATATACCAAGTCTTAACTTACCTTCACTGGCAGAATATTTCACCAGTAAGATGCGACTTGAGCTTAAAGCAATGAATACAGCACCTAGCAGGAATGTATACATTGTTGGCAAGGAGCATAACATGGGATGACTACAGCACTGTCGTTCCATTCCACTGTTTTTTAATTGCCTTAAAGAGAAAAACACTTTCATGAATAACCTTGCCGGCAGACTCTAAATGCAAATACCATTGATTGTGAGGACAGAAAATGAATTTTTTAAAAAACGTTTGGCTATGACTATATCGGCACCAAGAAAGTTTAGGCGTGCAGAAGAAACTACGAGAAAAGGAAATGAAAGTCAAAATCTGATAAGAGGGAGTACTCTAGAGACAGAAAAGGTAGAACCAGATTAGGCGTGCTGACAAAGGTAGCAGGTGAGCAAATGACACTTTGCAACAGCAGAAAAGAATTCTTCAACAAAGCAATTCTTTAGCCTTTATTTATTTGTTTATTTTGAGATGGAGTTTCGCTCTGTCGCCCAGGCTGGAGTGCAGCGGCGTTGTCTTGGCTCACTGCAACCTCTGCCTCCCAGGCTCAAGCGATTCACCTGCCTCCGTCTCCCGAGTAGCTGGCAATACAAGCGCCCACCACCACACCCGGCTAATTTTTGTATTTTTAGTAGAGACAGGGTTTCACTATGTTGGCCAGGCTGGTCTCGAACTTCTGGCCTCATGATCCGCCTGCCTCTGCCTCCCAAAGTTCTGGGATTACAGGCGCGAGCCACCGCGCCCGGCCTAGCTTTTATTCTTGCAGTAAATAATTTTGCTGTAAAGATGAGACTTTCAAAATTGCATTTTCCTCCTCTTTTCCCTCGGAGGAAAAAGAGCTTATTGGAAAGGACTTCATTACAGTAACAACCAAAATGGAAATACCTGAAATACTGACGTAAAGTTTTGCTGAACTACAGTTTGAAATGGAGGAGATCGTAGGAATCAATGTGTCTAAGGCCATCTTGATAGGTTGAAGACACTAAACCCCAGGCTAAGTAACTTGTCCAAAGCCTCCCACCGTACCGTACGAATAGCGCAAAGAGCCTGAGGAGTGGGGAGAAATGCCAATACTGACAGCCCAACTGGGCGCAGGCGTAAAGGAGGCCAATGAGACGCCTCCCTGACAGGAGGAAGCCAGGTTTCCCTTCACGGTCAGGGATGCCTACTCTGGTCACACATGCGCAGTAGGGCTCTTGTTTGGCGCGCCCTCCCCTGATACGCACGCGCAATTGCTTGCCCGCGGGGCGCGGTTACCTCCCTCAGAAGAGCTTCTAGTGGCAGAACGCACATCCTAAAGCTGAGACAGTAACTGTCTGGCTCCGTAGTAGCAGCAGTAGCATTTAGTCTCCATACGCGGAGAAGTTACAGTACGTAAAGGCGAAAAAGCCTCTGCTCCTAAGCCGCCAATTGAGGAACGAAAAGCATGATTACGTCCCGACTGGGAAAAGGTGGACCCGACACCCATTGCGCAGGCGCGTTCAGTGTTACGCTTCCGGAAGGAGGGGAGAAGCAACTTATCCCGCCCAAGTGCGGTCTTTCTCCTGTCACGTGCAGGGAGAGACCAGTGTCACGTGAGGCCCCAGTGGCGGCGCTGCTACGGCAAGAGAGTGAGAGAAGGGGAAGCCGGAAGGGGCGCGAGTGAAGTAAAGGGGGGAAAGACAGCTCCCCAGAGGGCGAGGGGTGCGCGTGCGGCCGCTTCTCCCTTCAGGTCTCCCCTCGGTCCCGCTGCTCTCCCTCGCGGCCTGGTGACAGCTGGGCCCGGTACGTCGCCGGCTGCCTGGGGCGCAAGGAGCGCGCGCCCTGTCCTCGCGCGCGGTGCCTGCCGCCCCGCCCCCTCGTCCCGCCCGTCCCGTCGCGTCGCGTCCCGTCCCCTCGGGTGCCGCCGGCAGGGTGCTGATGCGAGTCGGCGGCAGCGGGGACATTTTCTGACTCCCCGGCACCTGACCCAGCTCCCCTTTCCATCCCGTCGCGGGGCCGGCAGCTACTCCGGCCCCAGGATGCAGAATGTGATTAACACGGTGAAGGGAAAGGCACTGGAAGTGGCTGAGTACCTGACCCCGGTCCTCAAGGTAAGCCAGGCCGGGCTTGCCTGGGGCTGTCAGGCACATGCTCAACTCTGCAGGGACCGGGCGCCGCAGAAGTCCCGTCTTCTGCGGCGGGGCAAGGTGTAGGGAGGCGGTAGGGCTCGGGACACAAGGAAAGGTGCAGCCCCCACTCGTAGTCTTACCCGGCTATTCCTTAGGGCTTTCTGACTCCTCAGGGGTAAACTTGGAGCGACGCTCTGTGCGTGTTCCTGCCTTTCCCCGTCATAACTCTGCGCGGTTGGATACGTCGGGTTAGAAGGTAGGTGGTCGGCGGCTGAGTAGATTGAAGAACGTGAAATCCAAACATTGGAAGTCGTTTTGACTTTTTAAACTAGGATTTTGCTTATCTTTTTAAAAAATGAATTCAGTGTTTGACATATGTCACTTTTCCATTAAGTTTCATAGAAAGTCCGCTATAGTGGTGAAGTTGTGAGTAGGATCCCAACTCGTTTCGATATCAGAGGAACGAGGTAAAATTGGCAACCTTATCTCATTTAGTAACCTTGAACCCTTCTAACGGGCAAAACCTCTTTCCCAAGCTTTTCAGATAGCCGTAGCTGGTTATTAGTGATAATAAGGCACGTCTTACTTTCCTGGCTGTATACTCTTTTTAGTACATTGGCAACAGTACAGAAACTTTGGAGTAAAACATTGTGACACATTAGCTATTGCAGTAGGGACTGATTTTTTTTTTTTTTTCCCCCAAAGGTAAACTTCTAGAACTGCCCTCAAATTTTTCTTTTATAACTCTTTTAGAGTAAGTTTTTTGTTGTGAGTTCCTTTTTTTCTTTCTGAAAAGTGAGCAAGAATAGTAAATTAATGGAAAATTTTTGCCTAGTTTTTGTTTTTTTTCTGGTTGTTTTAGGCTTTCAATTAGAATGTACCAATCTCAGTGTGGGGGTGAAATACTCTAATAAGCTAAGAATAGTGGAGAGTTTTGCTTTGCTCCCTTTCCATCGCAAAGGGAAATATTAGGTCTGTACTTTTTAAAATACGTTTTTCTAAAACTCCTTTTAAAAGAATAACTTATTGGCCAAATAAGAAATAAACCAGCTATTATAAATGAGAATTTCAACTATTGGTTTGCTTATGTTTATTTACTGTGAAAGTCATTTTAAGATTATTCAGTCAAATTAAGATTGGCAAGTAATTTTCACATTTGAATCAAATGTTTTTACGTATTATGTTACCTTTTCAGACTATCATATCTACCTAGGTATACAGTATTTTAATAATGCACCATTGTTACAACTTTTTAGTTTCAGGGAGAGAGGAGTAAGAGACTGCCCAAATTAAATATAAAATTTATGATATAGAATTATGTTTCGAGGAGTCATTTTACTTGATCACCAAACTGAAAAGGAACTGTTAGCGTGTCATTATGGATGGCATATGTTTTTAGTGAAAAGGAAAGAATTAATGACCGTTTCCTTGATACCTCCTGTGCAAACTGTTGGTTTACAGACAGAATCCTTACATTTTCCTGCTAGATAAGGGAGGGCAAGGAGAAAAAACAAAAATCTTCGCCGGGCGCGGTGGCTCAAGCCTGTAATCCCAGCACTGTGGGAGGCCGAGGCGGGTGGATCACGAGGTCAAGAGATCGAGACCATCCTGGTCAACATGGTGAAACCCCGTCTCTACTAAAAATACAAAAAATTAGCTGGGCATGGTGGCGCGTGCCTGTAATCCCAGCGACTCAGGAGGCTGGGGCAGGAGAATTGCCTGAACCCAGGAGGCGGAGGTTGCGGTGAGCTGAGATCGCGCCATTGCACTCCAGCCTGGGTAACAAGAGGAAAACTCCGTCTCAAAAAAAAAAAAAAAAAAAAAATTCTTCAGGAAATAAGTAATTGCCTTCTAGCAAGTAAAAAGAAAAATCATGTTTTGTTTGGAGGATGTACATACAGTAAACACTGCAGTTCTTAAAATCATCTCTAAGGTTCTGTTTAATTGGTAGAGGCCCCAGTCTCATCTACTCCATCCCCTGACTGCTCTTGCTTAAGCTAACTTGACCTCCTCTTTATTATTCTGTTAAGCACACTCTTGGTTCAGGATTTTGCATGTGCCCTTTCCTCTATCTGAAAAGCTCTTGGCACTTAAAACCTTATGGCATATTCCTTGCCTTAAGGTTTTCAAGTAGTTGTTCAATAAAGTCTTTGTTCTCTTACCGTTCTATTTTAAATGACCATCTCTCCCAACAGATTCCAGGAATCCCACAGATTCCTCTCTGCTGCTTTTTTCTTCATGCCGTGTTATTCATTACCATTTGGCTTTTCTTCCTCAACTAGAGTTGAAATTCCTTATGAAGGCAAGAATAAATTTGAGTATATTTTATTCACAACTAAATATCCCCACTGGCTCAAATAGTGTCTGGCACATAGTAAACATTTGTTGAATGAATAATGTTCATAAATAAGTCTTCTCTTTTTTGTAGACTCTACCAGAAAATCTTACATATAACTTAAGGTTTAGAAAAATTTAGTTAACAGCATCCTTGCTTTAGAGGAGAGGATACTGTGTCAATATCTTGGTGGAGATGCGAATTAGGGGGAAATGCTAAATGATTTCTAGATTTGGTTTCTAATATTATTCAGTTTAAGACTGGCTGAATTGTAAGATGTCTAAACATCTTTAAGACATTTTTGCGGTGCTGTAAAATAAAGATATTTGTTCATTTCACAGAATCACTGAAGGCTTTATTTTTATTTAAATCTTAGAATGTTTACATAGAACTTTAGTCTGGTATAGGAGTGATCTGATAGTATTATAATTATTTTTATGTCTGTTTCCTACATTAGACTTGTAGATTCCTGTGGTCATTACCAGTGAGTGAGACAGATAGATAGATATAGATAGGTAGATTAGATAGATAGACAGATTATAGATTAGATAGATAGAATGATTTTTTTTTTTTTTTGTATGTGCTTCATTGCCTAGAAGGGTACCAGCAGGCAAATAATTGCCCCCAGAAACATTTTTAATTGACAGTGAAACAAGATATAATATTGCTTTTCTTTCTGCTTTCTTTAGGAATCAAAGTTTAAGGAAACAGGTGTAATCACCCCAGAAGAGGTGAGTGCTGAAAATATACTGAAGCCTTTTTATTTTACAATTACATTAAACTAGGTGGCTTTTCTGTTTCATAAGAAAACATTTTGAACTCTAACTTTGATTTCAGTAAAATTAGATTTTATGACTGTGATTTATAGGAATTTCTATTTCCCATAGAAGAAAAAATATAACTTCCCCGTCAATTTGCCACTTCTCGTAATTCTCTGTAATTCCTCTTTATTTAGAAATGAGGGTGACAGAAGGGATGGAAAAGGATCCTGTATCACTTGTTCTTCACTTATATTTGTGTTATATTGAGCTGTGCAGTAAGCTCTGTAGTGTTTGTAGTGTCTTGGTTCTGTCTACATCAAATGTGAGTTTTCATGCTTCTCATTGGGAAACTGCTCACTACTTAGATGCTGTTTTCTCTTAATAGTTCTTTTTTGTTTAGGTAGTGTATTTTGTTGTCTCTAGAGAAATAAATACTGGGCTAAAAACCTTTTCAGGCTCCAATTTTATGAATAGTTAGGGTTTTATGAGAATTAATAAAAGACAAAGAATATAAGCTTGTCTTTTTTTTTTTTTTTTTTGAGACGGAGTTTCGCTCTTGTTACCCAGGCTGGAGTGCAATGGCGCGATCTCGGCTCACCACAACCTCCGCCTCCTGGGTTCAGGCAATTCTCCTGCCTCAGCCTCCTGAGTAGCTGGGATTACAGGCACGCGCCACCATGCCCAGCTAATTTTTTTTTGTAGTTTTAGTAGAGACGGGGTTTCACCATGTTGACCAGGATGGTCTTGATCTCTTGACCTCGTGATCCACCCGCCTCCGCCTCCCAAAGTGCTGGGATTACAGGCGTGAGCCACCGCGCCCGGCCCCAAGCTTGTCTTTTTAACTGTCAATGAAAGTACTACTTATTGGCAATAAACTGTATTCATTGTTTTAAACAAACGTTTTAAAATAAGCCTTGTATGATGAGGCTGTTTCTGTAAGTTCCAACGCATCGAGCTAGAGAATTAACTGATCTTTCAATTTTCAATTGTGATGGAATCTGTCTAGTTCCAAATCCTTGTGAATT